TCCTGTGCTAGTTTCGTAAGTTTCCACAACTTACATTGGTCCCCCTGGAGGTGTTCAAGGTATTCTCTGGGCTTTCTCGTTATTGTTACACAACTTTGGCACCCAATGGCCTATTTTCATGATTAAGTGGGAAACAGTGCATTTTTTAACTTAATTTTCAAACCAGGAGTCCCGTGCAAGTTCCGTAAGCTTTCACAACTTGCATTAGTCCCTCTCGAGGCGTCTGAGGTGTTCCCCGGGCCTTCTCGTGACTGTTACAAAAATTTGGCCCCCGATGGCCTATTTTCAAGCTTTAAGTGAGAAACATGCATTTTTTGACCTAATTTTCAAACTGAGAGCCCCATGCTTGTTCTGTAACTTTACACAACTTCCATTGGTCCCTCTAGAGGTGTTTGAGGTGTTCCCCGGAAAGTCTCGCACCTGTTATACGATTTTTGCCCCCGATGGCCTAATGGGAATCCAATTCATTCCTGAATGCAACATCTGTCTTGACAAATGCTTCTAGTAATGCATCGGACGGACTGCATTGTTATCAAATACAAAATAAAAATATGTACTTCTTATTAAATACATTCATATATAGATTATAGAATGTAAAGAGCCCACGAGAATAATAGAATGGAAGAAACCTTTTTATGGAACCAAGACTTTGCAAAAATCCTGGTAGAGCTTGAGCAGAAAACTCAGCAGCTGCTGCACCTGCATTTGATCTTGCCATTTTTATTGTAATCTAGAGCAACTAATGCACGACACATAGGCTATGTTTGGAAACAACCAAAAAGAATTATAAAAAAAAAAAGAAAAAAAAAAAAGGAATTCTTCAAGAATTTAAACATTAATTTCTTAAAACTAATTTCCAAATAATTCCATTTTGTAATAGTTGGGCTTTGTAATGCTCATTATGTCATTCTGGTTTCATTAAGAAACACTTCAAGTGATGCCCAAGCAATTGTTTATTAATTAATATTGTGATCACCCACATGAGCTTTAGTTCTCATTAAAATCCACTGTTGCTTGAGTTTGGTACCAAATACACCAATAGGATGAAAATAAGTAGCTCTTAATTTATGACGCACCTCGATGACCATCAAAGATTCCAAACACATGGATATCCTTCTCACCGCACATATGGGGCATAAGAAAGTGAGTGTCCTCCATTGTCTCCCTACTCCCACAAGTACTGAAGGATCCCAAGACAGCACTGGATGGTATGCTGAAGGATCAGTAAAAGGATCAGGCCAAATTCTGACACCAGAATCAGCTGCGAGACAAGATCTCTTTGACAGGTTTTCACCCTCAGTAAACCAGTTAATACTTTTTTGATAAGCAAGAAGGCTCGGGATGCCCTCATCACCAAGAGGGATAGAGGGGTCAACAAGTGCCTTTTCCTTTTCGTCTTCCTCTACTCTCTTTCTGCATTCCAAGATGGGATCAAGTTCCAGAATAATATCATCAAAAGAAGGCCTATTTTGGGGATTTGCATCCCAACATCTCTGTATCAAGGACGGGAAACCTGTTGGTGCAGACGAGCTGTGACCAGCAAGAGCAGGTCGCAATCCTTCAGACACCACGGCTGCTGTAAGTTGCTGTTCAGTACAGTTCATTTCCAGCACAGCGTGGGCCTGCAAGCAGATCACATGATGCACAACCATGTTAAAAAGCATAGTTGACGGGTCAAATGATTAGGGGGCATTCAGTCAGATTAAGATGTAAGATATTATCTGTGAAGAATTGGACGTCCAGAAGAAACTTAACTTCAACAGAAACCTTTTTTTTTTTAATACAATTTTTAGAATATGAAAATTATATGGGAAACCTGAACCCTGATAAGCAGTTATATGCATGAACATATGTGTGCTCATAAACTGAATGACAAGAAAAATGAGGAATGGTATGAGAAGTAATCTAGAAAGCAGGAAGAGAAATCCCACTAGATGTTAAATGAGATTGAACAACACAGAGTGGCTGAAAATGAGAGAGCTTAGCGTGGTGGTCAAACTACATGACCTTCAACACAGAGTGGCAGGAAAAATACCCCAAGTCCCAGAAAATGAGTTCATGCCACGCTTGCCTGAAACTGCTGTGGTTAAACTGCAGGATTCAAGTGTTCCACTTGTCTTAAATCACCATGGTGGTCAAACTACATGTCCTTCAACTCTGCGATAGTAACACTGTGCCATTCGTCCAATAGCCAAGTCAAAGAGGCAGGACTTATATATGCTGAAGTATTCAACATAGCACCTCGGAAGATTTTGTGGTTTGGTGGCTAGAGACTAAAGTGTTGATCACTACGACACCCCCGTGAGTGCCACTTAAGCCAGCCTTACTGAGAGAGAGATACCACACCATTGGACCTTTTGTGTGGATGCTCAGGGATCAAGGCAAATCCTAAGGGATTGATACACAGCCACATGTTGTGGCATATCCTAATGGAATACAGAAATATCTAGGAAATTTGTTATGGGTCTTGTGACCCCCCTCTTATAAATAGGAGTTAGCACCCCTTACATCACCAGCACTTTCGGGGCACGTAACATCAACATCAAGGAGGTGCCAAACTCCTTAGACATTTACTTCATCTATGCTATTACTGGCCCACACACATTTCTACACCTCCACTCGCAAGAGTGATAATTTAACAGCCATATAGCCATGTAAACAGTGAGTTATAGTAAAAGGAAAAAGTCAAACCTGCGCTTCTGCATGAAGATCAGTATATGGGACAACACCAGTAAGCAAAAGATAATGATCTATCAAATTTCATGTTTATATGAAATTATATAAAATAAATTCTTCTACATGTCATTGCAAATGATAATGATCTATCAAATCCCAAGTTCTACGACAAGGTAGGACTGTAAGAGAAATAAGCTGCCTAGATAACAAAGCAAAAGACTCGGTCTATACCTACTATCTAGCATTGAAATGTTATCCCCGAATCTAACAATATAAAGTACATGCATACCCTTCTTGTTATTACATTGCCACGAAATTTGTTAGATAAAGTGAATTAAGGCATTCATGAATGATCAAGATGACCAATCATTCTATTTGCTTTTCGACAAGTACGACATGAAAATAGTCAGCCCAAGAAAATAGTGTTTAATCCATTATTAGACACTCTAAGAAGTATGGACATGGACAAGAGACACGATAGAGATATGACATGGACACGCTAGCACAACAAATTTCAAAAAATGCAAGATGCAACACGTGAAGGACACCTGCAACTATATACATCTGACTTTTCATTATGTATCTCCTTTCTCAATATTTCAGGCGCCATATAAATGAGTGTGCCGACCATATTCTTTTTATGGAAACCACCAGTTGGCTTTCCAGATGATCTCCAGTTCTCCATAGAAACTTGTTTAAGATTGTGGACGAAGGTTTTCATCAAGCTGCCAAAAAAAAAAAAAACAGAGGCACCAGCAGCATATTATTCAACCACTTCAATAGGAAACACAAAGTCTTACCCACAAAAAGATCAGAAACAAAACAAAACAAAACAAATCAGAAAATGATGATGGCCTTTACAAGAATATTTGCTGGTTTTACATCCCTGTGTACAATCCCAAGTTTATGTAGATGTTGCAGAGCTTTAGCTGTAAAATAGGAAACATGATCATTATAACTTTAGTATAAACCTTATCATACGTTCATAAAACAGAGAATCAAAACAAAGGGACAGACATACAGCAATAAGCTTATCCAATGCCAGTACTCAGCAATCAATCTTTTCCTATGGGACCACATTACATCAAACCCCTCTTGTCGGAGAAAACCCATCTCGAGTTTGAAGAGATGTTTACGTTTCAAAAAATTGCTCCAAAGTTTCTCCTTCCTATGTACTCGGATTTTGCTTAGTTTGGTACTTTGGTTAGAAAAAATTTCAAGTGATATAACTCAAATGGAGAACTTTACTACATTCAGCCCAAACTCCCAAACAAGAAAATTGGTTTCTCACAGGAATTCCATCAAAACACATATGTGGTACCAAGCAAAGAGTAAACAAATTAAGTAATTGGACACGGATGAAATCCTCATCATCATCATCATCATCAGCAGCAGCAGTAGAGAAGAAAGAGAGAAGGCAACATCAGTGACAGAGGAAAGATCCAATAACAGTTACGGAGAAGAGAAAACAACAGCTACAACAGAGAACAGACAGATCAGCAGTAGCAGGAGTAGTAGTAGACGCGGGGAAGTAGATAATAGATTCAAAGAAGCAGAGAATATAGAAGCAACATCAGTGAAGAAGAAGAAAGAGAAAGCAACAGGGGAGAGGAAGAAGAAACCAGCTGGGAAGATGAAGAAGAAGAAAGCAGTAAAGAAGAGGAAGAAGAAGCGAAGCTAAGCTATGCAGAGAAAGAGAAAGAACCAGGGAAGATGCATAAAAGAGAAGAATATGTAGAGAAGAGAGAGACAAAGGAAGCAGAAGATGTTGAGAGAAAGAAACAGAGAAGAAGAAGCGAGAGCTGAAACCAAAACAAATTTGGAATTTCTAAATTAATGAGACGAGTAATTTGAAGAGGTTCAGTAGTTGCCATTAAATCCATAAAGTAATTCCAAGAATTTTCAGCTGAAACTTAAAGAGGTATCTAATTAGGACGTCTACCTAAGATGCAGAGTAGCAATACCAAATTTTAAGATTGGCGAGGTTTTTTTCCTTTTAGATGATGAAGAACCTCTCCAAGACAGGGTCTAGATGCCAGCAAGAGCTGAACCCAAAGCATCTGAGTTTATATCTCATCCAAGAGTTCACTCCTTTGACAACTAGGCTATCCATGCAGGTTAAATTGGTGAGATGTTGGAAATAATTTAGAAAAATTAATATTATTTGCATTATTTATTCATGAATGTTTTAAAAATTGAAATCATATTCCACGTTAGCTATTCCCATGTTTTACAGAAATTCAAGGATATTTATCAAATTTTTTGAAGAGCATTATGTCCATCGTGACATAAATACGTCATTATCATCACTCATATGTTTAGACATTCTTATAAATCTTGTGCAACATGCTAAAACTTACTAATAAGTTAATCTCTTTATTTTATTTTGGTCAATGGTCAATAACCTAATCTAAGTTTGGGTTCCCTTCTCTAGATGCATCAGGAATAATCTATAAAAAATTGACAAAAAACATTACTAATTCCTATATGTTGAAAAAAACAATACTTAAGAACACAACATGGTAGTAGACTGCACATCCTTAATCATTGACACCGTATGTTTTATGGAATGTGTGTAAAATCTAAGCCAATGCCATCAAAAGCGTGCTTAGGCACGCACTTAGGCACAAAGTGCAGTAAGGTGCACCTGAGGGATGGCAAAATTCCTCGGCCCGATTGTATTTGTGCCATGGTAGGGTAAACTATAGCCGTAGGTAGGTCAAAATTGTCAGGCTTATAGTAAAGTAAAGTATAAAATTGTATCACTAAATTAATTAAGTTTAAAAGCAAGAAATCACACTCAAAACCCGATCCATTGCCATCCTTGAGGTGAGATGACATTAATGAAGCGCATCCGAGGCATGCGCCTATTTCAATTGCTCCTAATTTGTTAAAGACATGATATCAACCCTTCAATCAAATGAAGCCCATTGTAATTTCATTTGTTCCTAGAAAAGCCTCCCGAATAAATAGAAAACTCCAACCTAAATCAAGCTAAGCCTCCCAAATACTCGCATGGGACTCCCGGTTTGGAAACAAAGTCAAAAAATGCACTTCCTAAACACTTAAGTTTGAAAATAAGCCATCGGGGGCCAAAAAAATCACGTAACAGTCCCGAGAAGGCCTGTGGAACACCTCCAACAATTCCGTGAAACACGTGGAAACTTACGGAACTAGCGCGGGACTTCCGATTTGAAAACTAGATCGGAAAAGGTACTTTTTTCACACTTAAGCTTGAAAATAAACCTCAGCGGGCCAAAATCATGTAACAATCACGAGAAGGCCCGGGAAACACCTCGAACATCTCAAGAGGGACCAATTTGAGTTGTGAAAACTTAACGAACAGGCACAGGGCTCCCGATTTGAAAACTAGATCGGAAATTACACTTTTCTAACACTTAAGCTTGGAAGTAGGCCATCGGGGGGCCAAAATCATGTAACAATCGCAAGAAGGGCCGGGAACACCTCAAACACTTCGGGAGTGACCACCGCGAGTTGTGAAAACTTACGGAACTAGCACGGAGACTCCCGGTTTGAAAACTAAGTTGGAAAGAGATACTTTTTCCACACTTAAGCTTGGAAATAGGACACCGGGGGGGCCAAAATCGGGTAACAGTCACGAGAAGGACCGGGAAATGCCCCAAACACATCGGGAGGGTCCAAGGCAAGTTGCGGAGACTTACAGAACTAGCATGAGACTCTCGGTTTGAGAACTAAATAAAAAAATGCATTTTTTTCACACTTAAGCTCGAAAATAAGCCGTCGAGGGCAAAAATCGTGTAACAGACACGAAAAGGCCCAGGGAATACGTCAAACGCCTCGTTGTCCCACCGGTCGTCCGGCCGATTGACCTGAACAGTGCATTTTTTTTTTAATTTTTTGTAATTGACATACTTTAATTTTTATATATTTGAAAAAAATATTTTCTGAATTTTTAAATTTTTTTGTGTTTTAATAGAATTTTGAGTTGTATGTTTGGTTATAAGTTGTAAGTTTTTGTATCAAATATCAAATGTCACATCAAAAATTTCCCATTCAATTCAAAACTCTTTCACCAAACAAATTTTCCAAAACTCACAGAGACTCAAAATACAACTCCTACTCTCAAATCATAGTTACAAAGCTCTACCAAACGCAACCTAAGATTTCAAAGGAAAATTCATTCGCAAATGACGTCAGATCAGATCAAACATAACAAAAAGAAATACCACCCTTTCTTGTCCACCTTGAACCACTTTTCCAACCCTAAAACTTTGATGGCAACTTTAATAATATATAAATAAATAAATAAAAAAAGAAGTATATTTAAGACAATTCTGCATGCGCAATTAGGAATAGTTTAGACAATTTTCTATAGTGTACATTGATACATTTCCTGTGCTAACTCATGAGCAAATACTAAAGAGAAATGACATAGTTAGCCTTACAGCATGACAATCGTTTTTGGTGTCCTTCATTTCTATCACATTCACAATTCTTCCTGTTTTTGTGTAGAGCGCTAGATAACTGAGGAGTGCTAATAGGCATTTTGGCTTTTGTGACAAGTCTGACTGTTGCTATTGGTCAGTACCCCTTTAATGCTTTCTCTAATAAATCTTTTACTCACAAAAATATAGATAATAAATAAAACTGCTTTTGCTGGCCATTGTAAGCCCTCAAACCTGTAGTGGAAGCGCAACTTTTTCCCATCATAGAGCAATTCAGAAGCTGATATAAGTTAGTCCACTAGTAACCTTCGTCAGCTGTTTCAAGAACCTTTGCGTACAGTGAACATCATCAGCATTTCAAGAAATCATTACCTCATGTTTTTATCAGTTCAGCGAACCAGAAATAAAGAAGGTTACTACCTTGCTTCTAGGAGCAAAACCAGTTAAACGGTCATATTATCGAACAAAACAACCAGATTCATCAAGTTACACACATACCCCTGGTTCAAACATCCGAAGTAGTATTAGTCAATAAACTCAACTACAAAATATCCACAATTGACTTTTAAAGCTATGGGACATTTGATAATATTTCGTATACTTTTAAGTTCCAACTTTCCATGGGCTTCATCTGTAGGTAATCTAAGTTGTTGGAGATGATGATCCAGTTGTTTGGCAAGGGAAGTGGGTTAATCAAAGGGAACACAGTGAGTGTGACTGTATGGAGGAGTTAAGTGGCTGAATAGTCTAGTGGCAAGCTGGAGTTTAATTTTTCTCTTGTTGGAGAGTGCAGGTGTGAGTATAATATTTTATAAATGAAGATTGGGCAAGGTCGGCAATGGTTTAGGATTGGAGAGAATGAAAGACAAGGGGTGGGCTTAGGCAAACACAAACGGAGAAAATGTGAAAAGGGGTTGACAAGATTTACTTTTCATTCTTTTTCATCCTATCATCTTATAATGTCATTCTTTTTTGGCCATTTTCAGTTCTGTTTTGAAAACCAATGAAACCAACAATGCATATTCTCTAGCTTCTCCCTCAATATATATATTTTTTAAGAAATTACTTTTAAAAATGCAGGCAGAATAGGGGGCTGCATTATATGTGATGAGTTTTCCTACAAAATATATATATATATATATATAAAATAGAAAAAAACAGGGCTCAAATAAACTAGTAAAATAAATTCTTACATGGATTACTGAGTGAGGACAAATTTGAGAAACTTCCGCAGGAAGCTGTTTAGCAATTTAATAAGTGAATACTTTGCGGTGAGAATTAATTGTTGCCTCTCAGCATCACAACAATTCAAGAGGAAATTTTAAAATTTGGATCAGCATTCATAATTGTCATAAAGACTTTCTGGCAATGAAAATTTAATAGCATCTAGCAAGGAAACAAGCATACATACAAGAAATATCCTTTCAAGAAGAAGAAAATGACTAAGAAATAAAAATGATGATGCCAAAACTGCTCTCTCCCCCTCTCCAGATATTCACCCCAAAGCAGCAAGGGTGACTCCAAACATCTGCTCCATTAACGTATACACCCCTTGACACCTCCCAACACCTAATACTAGTCTCTGATAATTCAATGAACCCATTCCTTCCCAAATGCTGGTCCCAATTCATCATGGTTTCTTGGAGGGGAGTGCAAAGAGAGAAAAAAAATAAAGGGACCATAGCTCACTAAATCAAGCAGTAAAGAGATGACTACTGTCTTCCTCTGTTCTTACATACAAAAACAAATGGGCAAAATAAATCTTGAATGTATTTCTGAAGGCCAATGAACTATCCATGTTAAAACTAATAAATTTCTTTATTTCAAACTAATACAACTGACTTGGGACACAACCTCATGAAGCAATAAATAATAAAGAGGTAAACAGCAAAAA